AAATAATGATGTATGCACAACCTTGGAACAACAGGGCTCTGGGATACAGGGATTGAGACATGGTTGGAATGGGGAAAAGGGGGGAATAATGTTAAGATGCTTGGCTGTCTTTTGAATCTTGGTTTTCCTTGCAATTACATTTTTAAATAGACACTTGAGGGGGAGAGAAAGGAATAGCCAGAAATATCACCATAGAAAACTTGTAAGTTCATCTTCTGCCTATAACTGATTAGAACACCTAAAATGGGGCTACAACGTGCCCAGTGAAGGAGGCTTCCTGCGGAGCCTCTGCAATACATAAGACTATAGGTGGAATCCTGAACAGCATCCAGAATCTTCAGAAGTGGGAAATTTCCTCTTGAAAGACCAGCCTGGAGTGGCTAGAAGAACAGAAGATACTTCTTGAAAGAAATACTGACAGGAAAAATACAAAACAATATAGGCAGACCGACCGATTACTACAACAAGTAAGTTGCTCACCCAGGAGACATCAAGGCAAGTGGTCGGGTCCCCTCAGAGTAAACCCCCTTCCAAGACTAATACTCAGTGGGAATACACAGTCTGATTGGTGATCACGTTCATCACCGATAAGGGGAAGTGTGGAAAAAACAGCAATGAAGCTGCGAGCTAAGCCCTATAATGTTCAATAGACTCCTGTGAACCCAGGTGGAGACCTGGTTGGCCAGCAGTGTGGCAAGACCTGGGGATTCTTGGGCCCAGAGTCAGTGACATAACCACAGAGGATTAGAGTGGAGAGTGAAGCGTCCAGCTGATAAGAAGAGAGGGGATATGCACAAGAACACCCACACTTACAGATAATACCCACTTGACCTGGCTTCAACGAGATAATACCCACTTGACCTGGCTTCAACGACTAGATGATTAGAGCTCAACCAGAAGAAAGAAGAGGAAAAAAAGAGTAATCTGACACAATTTGACGAATTTGACCTACACCTATGGATGCAGTAGCTCAAAAGAGGGAACAAATCTTTACAGCAAGGATCATTCCCACCCCCTTGATACACAGGGTAGACAGGGATGGGCAACTTGGACATTGGCTACCCAAAATGGGGGGGAAGGGAGGACTACAAAGGCAAGAAGTGACTGGCTTACAAGCTTTCAAGAGGGAACCTAGATCCAGAGGGCACAGAGGAAGGTAGAATCTCCACTGAGTAGTATCCAATCTGTCTAGGCGGGGCTGATGAAAGGAAATGCAGATGGGTCTCTTGTGATACAGTTGTGAATAATTGTGATCAGAACTGACTGTGAGGGTTGGAAATGTAAAGGTAGATGTTTGTAGCAAGAAGGGGAGTGATTAATTTTACAGTCTAGGAGCGGACGTCCCTGGGACCATGAAGGGAGAAGAGCGGAGAGCGGGACCCTACCCAGAGAAGCAGTGATGCCAGAGATGGAGGCAGAGATGGTGACGTGGAGAGATGGAACAGCTGGGGACTTTAGACCCAGAGAGGGAGAGGGGCTGTGTGCAGACGACCGGGGGCAGATTTGCAGGATATACCCTTGGGTTGGTTGATGATGCATGGAGGGGATTGTAACCATGGCAATGAAACGATATAAAATAGGATGAATGTAAAACGAATGTTCTCCCATGTAAACTATCACATAATTCACAATAAACATTTTAAAATAAAACATTCACCTGTACACACCCAAATCTAAAACATGTACACCTTGTACATACACTTCTCTAAAAATACTGTTTTTAAGTGCCTTAGAGATTTCTATTCATAGCAACCTTGCATAGGGTTTCCAAGGAGTGGCTGGTGGGTTTGAACTGCCGACCTTGCAGTTAGCAGCCCGGTGCTTATCCTACAGCACCACACCAGGACTCCAAAACACACACACACACACATGTCTAAAATGCACAAAGCATATTTCAGTGCTTGGATTGCGGTTCATAAATCAAGCTGTGTAGATACGGGGGTATCCGCTGCAGCAAAGGAAGCGAGGAATGGCAGGAGCTCATAGAACTGAGCAGAGGGGAGAGGATGCTGTCCTTTCAATTCTGTTTTCCTGAAGCTTAAAAACTGATGTAAAAAATAAAGTCTATCATTATTGCTAAATTCATATGTTCTCAAAGAAAATACAGAAACACAAAAAGCAGGAAATAAAAAGTGCCTGAAGCCGTGGCCCCCCAGGGAAACCAGCCAGAGCATTTTGAAAATGGTCCCCCCACGTTCTCTCTGCTGACCTTTTTTCTTCTTTGAACAAAAGTAAGATTATAGTGGTAACGCATAAAAATGACAGAATGGAAAATGTTTTGTTCCATAGGGTTTACCACAATTAAAAATACATATATTTAAGGAAAAAATGTAAATGAGATTATAACACACACACACATCATTGTGAAACTGATTTTCCTTTCAAGTCTACAAATGTGTTACATCCCGTCTTGCGAGCGTTTTTCTCATTGAAGTATCCTGCACAAAACAACTGTCGAGGATGGAGATGTGGGACCCTAATTGGGAGGGCTCCTGCTGGGGTCCTGCTTTCCCCAAGGCTGAGATCTTCCCAATGATGCTTGTCACCTTCCTAAGCCCTGCCCAAAGGGTGACGGTGAGGTCGCAGCCTTCAGGAGTATTGTGTTCTCAGGGCCCAGCCCTCCCAAGCTCCGGCCCCACGCCTCCACACTGGCTGCCTACCTCCACTTCAGCCCCTGGCCTCCACTCTGGCCCCTTACCTCCACACCAGCTCCCCAAAAAGCGTGTCCACAAGTGTGAAGAAGAAATCCATCACCATGAAACGGTACAGCTCCTGGCCCACAAAGTCCTCCCAGCACTGAAAGGACAGACAGATCCTGAGCTCCGGTCACATCACCCACCTGGATCTGCAATCCCCGCACATAGACTCCCCTGCTACACCCCGCTGCCTCGATGCCAGGATTACCAGGGGGCCTCAATCGTCCTTCTGGACCATGTCCATAATCTCAGATGGCCAGGTGAGGCCCCTTCTTCTGCCACCTCAGCAACCAGGAGGCCCATGTGGGGGTCAGGCAGCAATTCCCCATTTCCTGATCTCTTAGCCCCCTCACCTGGCCCTTCAGGAAGCCCACCCCATAGCCCTCTCACCGTCCCATGACCCCCTCACCTGGTCCTTCAGAATGTCCACCCTGCGACCCAGCCAGTGATAGCATAAGATGCCCAGGGTGATCACCTTGAGAATGAGGTTCCTGTGGGAGGCAGGATGTGGAGGCTGAGGGAGGGGGGATGGGAGGCAGAGGAGCCCCCCAGAAGGCCACCCACACACACCTGCAGATGGCCACGTACACCTCCAATACAGGGGACTCATGCTGCTCCAGGGCGGCCAACATCCGGTACAGGTAGGGGGCCACCAAGTTGGTGACACTCACCATGAGGGGAAGGACAAGCAGTCCCACCTGACCAGTGGCCACAGGGCTCTACCAGGGCGGGGAGGGGGCCAGAGGAGACACGGGGTCTAGCAGAAGGAGGAATGCAGCACCCCCTCCAACCCCTCCCCAAAGATACAGCCCCCAGGCTTCAGATTTAAACCAGACAGGAAGTTGGGTGGGGGTGGGGTTAGAACACAGGTGTCAGAAAAAAGAGAAATCAAAAAGACCAGGAAAGGGGCCTACAAGGGGGGGGGGGCCTCCAGGTCCTGGGTGAGGGTCTTAGACAGCCAAGGCCACTGGGGACTGGGTCCAATGGAGTGTCCAGTCTCCCATGGGCCTGCCCACCCACCACAGGGAGTCCAATTGGAGGCCTGGGATATGCAGAGAGTGCCCACCCATCATCCTTTTCCCACCTCTAGCCTCCCTCCCAGGACCCTAGGACCCACCTGGATCAAAAACTCTGAGAAAGTGTAGACTGCCACAGCGCAGCCCAGCGTGATGCCCAGACAGAGCAGCCACACCAAGCCCAGCACAGCCACCCGCCGCAGCCGCCCACACAAGTTCCAGGGACCCTGCCGCAGCTGCCACTCAGCCAGCAGCTCCTAGAGAGGACAAATGTCATCACTACAGGGTACAGACACATGGGGACACATGCATAGGACAATGCCTGGGGACACACACATGGGACACACGGCAGATACATGCACAGGGACAAACGGGAGATACACACAGGGACACAAATGGGAGATACATACATGGGGACATGCACAGGGACACACACATGGGACACGCAGGAGATACATGCACAGGGACACACAGGAGATACATGCATGGAGACGTTTACAGGGACACACAGGAGATACATGTTCAGGGACACATAGGATACATGGGGACATGCACATGGGACATACAAGAAATATACGCATGGGGACACACACGGGAGATACACACAGGGATACACAGGAGATACAGGCATAGATACATGCACGGGAACACACACAAGGGACACACATGGGAGATCATGTATAGGGACACATGGGGTACACACAGGAGATACATGGGCACACACGGGACAGGCACACGGGGATGCATGCACAGACACACCCCCATGGGACACAAATAGGAAATACACACATGGGGCACACGAGACGCATGTAAACACATACACACAACACACATGGAAACATGGACATGTGCATGGGGACACATGTACAAGGTTGCATCCATGGGACACACATGGGAGATGCACACATGAAGACACATGCATGGGGGGGACCCAGGGACAAAAGCACAGAAACACCCCCTGGAACACACATGGGAGATACATGGTAACACATGCATGGGAACACACACGAGATACACATATAGGGACACATGCACAGGAATATCTGCATGTAGTACGCACATGGAGATGTATATACAGGACACACGCACCGGGACATATGCACATGGGAACACACTTAGGAACATCCACATGGGAGACACACATGAAGATACACACATGGAGACACACCCATGGGGACACATACACAGGAATACCCACATGTCACACACACATGAGGACACACACACACAGAGACACATGCAAAAGGACACACAGAAGCATGGGATACATCTATGAGGCTCACATGCACACACACTAGACACACATGGAACACACACACCAAGACCCACACACAGGACATATACATGAGGACACACACACAGGATACAGGCATAGGGATACAGTTATGGGAACATACACAGGACTTACACAGACATGGGGACACACACATGCCAAGACACACAGGATACATGCATGAGGACACACACACAGGATCCAGGCGTAGGGACACAGTCATAGGAATATATACAGGACTTACGCACTCAGAACACACATAGCGGACACACACATGGGAAAGATACACAGGGACACACGTGGGGCACATGCATTGAACACACACAAATACAAAACACAGGTCAGCCCTAATGCTAGGCATGAAGGCCCCTGGCCTCCCTACCCCAGGCACACTTGGCAGCCACTCCTAGTTCCAATCCTTCCTCTGCAGCCACCTCAGGGGGACCTTCCCGAGCCTGTCCCTTCCCTGTCTATGAGGGGAGCCCTAAACCACCAGGACCCCTGAGGCAGGAACAGCATCCACCCCGGGAGCTTCCTCTGAGGCCGTTCCCATAGTACAGAATCCCAGGAGTCCCAGAGAACACAGCATGAGGGCCAGCTCTGCCTCCTTGTAGGCCGGGGACCCTGAGCAAGTGTGATTCAGGGTTCTTGTGAGAATCAGGGAGCTGATGCTTGCTGGTCCCCTGGACCCCCTTTCTGCTGGGGATGGACATGATGAACTCTCAGGGGAATGAAGGACAGGCACTCTGACCAGGGCCCCAGGGGGCTTCTGATGCCTGGGCTCCTGCAGCTCTGTGGTCACTACACTCAGGATGGTCCCCAGTGTGGATGCATTTTCTCCAGCAGCAGGAAGCCCTGACCTGTCGCTTTTAGGTGGGATCAACACAGACCCCCAGCCCTGTGTCCTGCCCACGAACACCAAGCTTCCTCCTCTGAGCTCAGTTCTGGATTGCTGATCCTAAGTAGGTCCGGCTGTGGGGGGTTGTGTTCTGGGATGAGGAACAATTGAATCCAGGTCTCTGGGCTGCTCACCTTCAGCTGGGTCCGAAGGTTGTCCTGCTGGAGGCGGGAGGCCCACTTCTGAGTCACCTTATAGTCCCAGGAACAGAAGATAGTGATGGCATGGATGCCTGAGGTGCTGCCCACCCGGTAGCTCTCCCCAAAAGAATGGGACATGCTGGGGGAAATAGCAGGTGGAGGGGTGAGCATGGGGCCAGGCAGCAAAGACAATTCCTAGAGCAGAGCCCCACCTCTCATACTAGGGAGCCTTCCCAACACAATATCAGCCTCCAGTAGCCCCCAGCACCACCTCCAGCCCAGGGCACTCAGCACTGCGGTGTGGACCGCCAACATGGTTCTCTAGAACTGCCTGGTTGATTTGAGACTCCTCACTACATGATGCTAGGAGAGGACTCAGTATTCTAACACACTGACCCAGACAGTGGATATGAAAGTTGCTGGCCTTCCCACTACAGGGCCTTCCCACTGTCTCTCCATTGCCCAATACCCTCCCTCCCTTCTTTCCTGCCCACTCATCTTTAACTTCTATATTCTCAACACCTAGTCAACACTTCTGGGGCTCCTGGATGCCCCTAGTCTGTTCATTGGTCGATCTTCTCCCCTAGACAACTCGAGGACTGGTACCGTGCTAATTTACCTTCCTGCCCTCAGTTGAGTACAGGGATGGATGGACATAGACGGATGAATGGATGGGTGGAGAAACAAATGGAAGGATGGATAAATGGATGGATCGATGGGTTGATGGATGATAGATAAATAGAAGGATGAATAGATATCTGGATGGATGGATGGATGGGTGGATGGATGAACAGGCAGATGGATGGGTAGTTACATGGATGAACAAATGAACTGATAGATGGACCGATGGATCAATGGATGGTGTAGATGGATGGATGGTGGAGTTGAGAGCCAAGGTCATACGGCAGAGGGCTGTTACCTGTAAACTAGGGTGATGCAGGTGATAAAGAAGGCCATGCCCATGGTGAAGAGGTAGGCCAGGGGCATGTTGTAGGGCAGGCCACCTGCCCCAGAAATGCAGTGACTGCCATCTCCCGGGAGAGCACACTGCTGGTTCACCGTGGTGTTACTGTAGTAGCCATAGTACATGACAGTGTGGGTGAAGGAGCCCTGCAGAGAGGAGGCTGGCAGGTCAAGGACCCCACCACCCCACCTGCCCCTGCCCTACCCCACCCTCAGGCTGCACAAGGCAGGGGGAAGTGCCCCATGGGGAGCGGGTGATGCAAACAGCAGAGCAAAGGAAGGGCAGGAGCGGGCAGTGAGGAGAAGACAGAGATGGGCAGAGGGCCTCGTCCTGGGCTTCCTGGCCTCAGTGAAACAGGGCAAGAAGGGAGGACATCAAGTACCCTGGTGGGGCGGGAGGCAAAGCTGAATTCACAGCATGGAGTGGGTGATGGGGGGGCACTCACCCCACCTATGAGGAGCTCCAGTCCGGTGAAGGTGGGGGTGGGGGAAGGCGAGGTGGGCGGGAAGGCAGCCTGTACGCCCACAATGAAGGCCAGCAGGGGCAGCAGCAGGAGGGCATTGAAGGCCAGCAGGGTCTTGAGGAAGAGGAAGTAGGAGAGCACACTGGAGCCGAACTGGCCCCCAATCCGCTTCAGGGCGTAGTGCCAGGGCGTCAGGGCGTGCAGGCTTGAGAGCAGCCCCAGCCCCAGATTGTGCAAGGTCTGTGGGGAGAGTGGATGACAAAGAGGGTCCTGAGGAACGGTCCCCCACAGAGGACACCAAAGAGGTGAGCCAGTCCCAGGCAGACAGACCCAGGAGAGGAAACCCCAGGTGAGGGCCCCGTGGAAGGGGGGCAAGAGGAGCAGTAAATGTTCATGAGTTGCTGAAGGTCCCAGGACAGGGACAGGAGCAGATAACAGGGCCCCAGCCCCACCCACTGCTGGTCTCATCCTGCCCCAACCGGAAGCTGTCCAGCCCAGAACCCTGGCGCCTACCAGAACGCAGCCATACTTGAGCTGTTTGCAGAAGGAGCAGACCCCATGCCGGTCCTGCTGGCTCCTCAGCTTCCCCCTCGGAGTCCGGCTCTCCTGTCTGGGGGTAGAAGCAATAGTTGATACCTGGTCCCACTCCACAGGAGGCTCAGTTGTATCCCCCCAACTTCCACCCCCTACACCATGGGCCACACACTGACCGCAAACAACGCTTCTCAGCCAGGCTCAGGGGCATCTCTCGGAGCATGTGGTCTTGTTGGGCCACCGTCAGGCCCTGGAGCTCCCTGACCAGAAGGCCACGCTTCTCTGCAGGAGTCAGGATGTTGGGTCAGTCCCTGGCAGTGTCCCTCCTGCCCCACAGTCCCTACCTCCACCCACTGTGCTCCAGGCCCAACCTGAGAGCTTCAAAGAGTGGACAACAGGTTCTGCCCCTGCCTGACCTATCCCCAAAGCCTAGACTTACAGCTAGTCCCGGATTTAGGAAGTATTCAGGTTATGAACCACACTAAAGACTGTCTGTTGGGGGGGTTTATACATTGTATCACTAGTAATATTAACTATGTTGCAAAACTTGCTGATGTTGACTTTCTCAAATGTTCACTCACAGATGTTCAAAGACAAATCAGATTTACAAAGATACTGATAATAAAAAGCAATAATGAAAACTTCACATTTAAAAAAAAAACTATTTGACTATGTCAAAACCAACTTATGTCGGCAATGTCAGAATGGGACCCCATGGTACATCAGAGAATACCTGTACTTTAGGAATGAATGAACTCAACATTGCCTAGCGCAATTTTGGGGGGGAGTGCCCCTTTGAAGTGCAAAAGACACCCCCCCTTTGCCATAGGAGCCACAATACCAAGACAATCCCCACAGCCTGGCAGACACCCCCCCACCACTAGGGGAGTTCTGTTGATGGCCAGCCCAGCTGCACCCCCGCACACTGACCTTCCTCCTCACGGGTCGCAGGGTCCAGCTCCAGGTCATGTGAGCGCAGGCTGGGCCGGGCTGCATGGTCCACAACGCTGTGTAAGGATCGGCTGCCCCGACGCCGCAGCCGCACCGTGCGATTGTAGTATTGCGAAATGATCGCGCCTCGGCTGCGGCCTGCATGGGCAGCTAGTCAGAGCAGCCTGCCAGGGGCCCCATCTTCCTCCTAGAGGAAGGGGCTGCCCCTTGCCCCTCCCTAGGACCCAGGATTTTGGAGCCCACAGGAACTGCTGAGTTCCCAAGAGTCTATTTTTATCCCGGTGACGCTGGAAGACAATTTTAGAGCTCAGAAGGGCCTTTTGGGCTGTAGGGGTAGGTGGGGTCTGGCTTTAAGTTCACTGCACAGTCTGGGGCCTGGAGTCCACTCACCAATGGTGCGGCTGGGCATGCTGGCCAGGATGCGGAGTGTGGCCGCGCTGTATGCCGGGGTATGCCCCTGCCCTAAGACGTCCTGATGGCTACCATCTATAACAGCAAGATGGGTTTATCAAGGAGTCCTGAAGACCCAGCCATCGTACCTCAGCTCCCGGGCTCACAGCCCCAATCCATGCCCTTTCCACCTGCCTTTGGACTCACCTATGGTCCCTGGGGTTCAGGATTTGGGTACCTGGCTCTATGTCCTGAAGCTCTAGCTCCACCTGGGGCTCTGAGGCCGCCACCCGCTGGCTCTGTTCCTGAATGAGCTCATGGAAGGAGTGGTGGACTTCGTCCTCATCGTAGGGGCTGGGCTCCCGGCTGCTGTGGTAGACGTAAGACAGAGCTCAGGGGGCCTGACCCAGCCCTGAGCCAGGCAGGTGGTCCTCCCCAGGGGAGCCCTAAAGCTCTTACCCCCAGTCCTCTGGGGTCTCCGGGACATGGAGGGTGAACGCCATGTGTACACACCACACCTGGCCCAGGCTGTCTGCAGCCCTAGACCAGCTCAGGGTCCATCCATCTGGGGATAGAAGGAGCAGGTTTACAAAGCTGGCCTCGATGCCTGGTACACACTCAAGAAGCTGCTTCCCTGGGGACCAGGGAGCGGCCACTCCCATCCCAGACTGCCTGAGCCACCCCCTCCATCCACAGCTAAACACCCAGTCAGGTAGGTGGCCCCAAATCAGCCCCACCCTCCTCTCAAAGTGTCTGCTGTACTAAGAGAGAGCCCCTTCCCAGTCAGGGAGGAGAGAGGAAGGCGGGAAGGAAGGGTGTGGGGTTTGGCAGTTCTCCATCTGTTTCCTCCATGTCATCAGTTCCTGGGAAAAGGGGAGGGGGGAGGCGAGTCTATGGGTTCCAGGGCCCGACCCTGGGGTTGCTGCCCAACTGGCCAGAAAGGGCAGGAGACCGTCAGGTCACCTAGAGGCCTCTCCTATTGGTGTTACCTCAACTGTATTCCTCTTTTTTTTTTTTTTTTTAATGTTTTCTGGTGAATTATGTGATAGTTTACTTGGGTGAACATTAGTTTTACATTCATCCTATTGTACATCGTTTCATTGCCAACTAATTCCTCTTATAGACACCAGAGTCTCCTATGTAGTACGCCAGGTGGAGGAACGGGTTCCTTCTGCTGCCCCCACCCCACTCCCAACATACACACTCAGCAGACAGTCCCCAGCACCCCTGCCAGCCTGCCAAGGCCATCTTGTTCTCAGGAGATCACCCTCCACATTCCATCACAGAGAGTGGGGGGAGGGGTGGGCATAACAGACTGCCTTTGTTCCAACCCGGAGTGGGGGTAGGGACAAAAAGGCCTCTGCCAGTAGGATAGGCCCAGGACTGGTCTACCCCAACCTGAACCTCCCACCTTTACCCCCAGGAAGCTGCCCCAGTGGGGCTCAGGTACCCAGATACAGCAGGTTCCTCTGGAGCTATGGGCACAGTGCCCAGGTTTTGCCTTCAATGGGTGGTCCAGTCTGAGTCCAGGCCTCACAATCCACAGCCAGCTCTCTTCCAGGGTCAGCAGGAGGATGAAGTCCGGGAAGCAGCAGTCAGGGGAGGGGGTCAGAGGAAGACGGAAGTGACAGTCTGACCACAAGCAGGAAAACGCTGGAGAAGGGACAGAGCTGGGTCCTCCCCATGGTCAGCCCTTGGGCCCACCGCCCCACCCTCACCACAAGTTCGGATCTGCAGGGCGCTGGGCAGAGCTGAAAGCTCACTAGGGAACACCCAGGATTCCAGCCTGGCAGGGACTCACCGCCAGCTCCCATCCCCCAGGCAAAGGCTGGCTCTATGAAGCACCGGTGCACCCCATTCCTGAGCCCTAGGCCAGGTGGGGACGGTCACGGTGGGGTCCCTTCCAGGAAGTCCCCACCCCAGCTACTTCCTGGGGTAGCCGCAGCCCAGCCCACGGGGCAGACACTTCAGGGACCCCACCTGTCTCCCCAGCAGTTAGTGGTACTGGCCTCAGCGACTGCGTTCCCATCACCCTCCTGCCCCCTCCCCCCAGCTGTGGTCCAGGGGCGCCCGTTCGGCCAGAGTTGGATGGAGTTTCGGGAAGTCCCGAGGACTCCGCCGTCGCCGGTGGCCCCGGAGGCGGGAACCGGAGGGAGAAGAGCCACCCCCGCCAAAGGGGCAGCAGATGGGGTTGGGAGGGCGGGGGGCAGGGCGGGACAAGGGTGGCCGCCCCCCAAGTCCCGGGGCTACGGCTTCCCTGGATCCCGGCACACCCTCCTGACCACTCACCTGGGAGCGGCTCACCTGTGCCCCGCAAGGGCCGCTGGGAACTGTGGCCTGGGCTGTACCCTGGGCCTGGTGGGAGGTGGCGGAACGATAGCGAAGGGTCCTAGGGGAGACCTGTGACCGACGCAGCCCCGCGGGGCGGGAGGTAGAGTCCGGGTCGCAGCCCACGTGGTGGCGGGCCTCGGGCGTCACGTGATCCGAGCTCCAGCCAGGGCGCACCCTCCTCCCCCGGCGCCACTTGCTGACTGTGTCGCCTCCGGCCAACTTCCCGACCCCTCCCCGAACCCTACCCGGCGGGCGAAGGCTACCAAGTGTCTGAGTCTATTCCGGCCTGGGCTCTCCAAGTTCCAAAGTTACAACAATTCCAGACCTACACGCTTCAGGATGGTCGTCAACGTAAAAGATGAAAACTCGATCACACAGTGCGGGATGGGGGGGGGGTCACTGTTTGCTCCCCAGGGATCTCTGCCGGGCAGTATCGGGGTTCTCTCCTCCCTCCCCTGTCGGGGCGTGGTTTCTGCTGTTTGTCTGAAGACATTCAGTGAACTTCCTGTGTGCTAGGTTGGGGAGCAAAGGCGGAAAGGGGGAAGGAGTGACAAGAGTGTTCCCACACTGCGAAGGCGGCCACCACAATCCCATTTCACAGACAGGGAAGCTGAGGCGGAGATCAGGACGAGACTCTGGGTCCACCTCGAAGCTCTGTCAAGGGTCCTGACTTTGGAAAAGCCCCCAAGAAACCCAAAGGAGGGGATCCCGGGGAGGGGGCATCCCGTTTACTGGGGAGAAGCAGTAAGCCGAGGCTCACGAAGGCCCAGGCCCAGGCCCTCGTGGACTGAAGAACTTGTGAGCCAAAGTCAGCCTGTGACTCCCGGGAAAGGGGTCAGCGGCAGAGCCGAGAGGGCGGCGCCGAGGCGGGCGGGGCATTTCTGCAGCTGTCAGTGTGGGGAGGTCTCGTGCGGGTGCGGGTGCCCAGAATGCAGACCCCGCCCGCCCAATCCCGATCCCCACCCACCACTGCCCTAGAGCACACCCAGTGAACTTGTGTGACCCGGGCCCAGCTGTGGAACCCTGGGGGCGCACTTGGCCCCACTCCCAACCTCGCTCCACTGTCTGAAACCACTACATGCCTGGAACAGAGGAGAGGCTCCGAACCTAGGAAGGGGAGATGGGAGGCAGGGAGGTCGTTGGACCCGAGGAGAACAAGGAGCAAGAAGGAAGATGAATTTAACCACTAGCCTGGAGGCAAGGAGCTGACAGGACGGAGGCTGGAGATTGAGAAATAAGGAGTACGGACGTCCGGTGTTGGGGGGCCCACCCTCACTGGCCGACCTGCAGCAAACAGATAAAGGGGCAGGTCCTGCGAGCTCATGGTCTCTCCTGGGTCAAGGCCCACGGGAGAGGCCCTTAGTCACCCCGGTCAGCTCTGCACTCCTCCACTCCCGGCCCATTTCCCCGGGGTCACACCCCACCCCCGCCGGAAGAGGGCGGGCCGAGGGGGGCACGCTAGCCTCAGCCCCCCAGTTGGGGCTTACAACTCCGCCCCGGTGCACAGCTGGGTGCACAGCTGCCCGAGGGGGCACATTCGGCCCCGGGACCGACTCAGGCGCATCCGCCTGAACCCCCGGCAGCGCGCAGAGGCACCGCTACTGCGTCGACGCCATCACCCTTCACCTGCGCTGGGCGCCCCACTAGCTGAAGGAAGTGCTGGCTCGGCCTTTTTCGAGTGGAGGAAACTGGGGGGAGCTGGGATTCCTGTCATGTGACAGCTCCCCCCACCCCACACACCCCAGCTCCTTCACAGCTCTGCCCCGTGTGGTGGGAACGGATCTGAGGCGAGCCCTCCTCCCTGGTCCTGGTTCCTTGGTGCCCAGGTGAGCTGGGTGCAGGAATGAGGGACAAAAAAGGGGGTAGGAAGCGGAGAGAGAATTGAGGAAAGAGGAACTAACTACAGGGGGAGGGTCTGCAGTGAGACCCCATGGAGGGACTCCTGGACTATGGGGCTGAACCACAGGTGAACAACTGAAGGGGTTCCCCGCAGTCAGAGCCCAGACAGGCGCTCTAGATGGCCCACCCCAGAGCGTGGGGTTTGAAACTGATCTGTCTTCCCCAAGAGAGGATTCGCGTATCGATGGAGGGAGACTGTCTCCCATAAGGATGACGCGGGGACCTGCAGCCACAGATAGCTGGGAGGGAGGCGAGGAGCAGGCCTTCGACCCACCCTACTTATCTGCCACACCTGGTCGCGGCTCTCCTTCCCCACCTTCCCCTGTCTTTTGGACCTTTCTCCCCATTTCACAGATGAGAAAATGTTGTTTTGATAGGTGGACCAGGGCTGAGCAGAATTCTCTCTTCATTTCTGATCATGCCAGGACCAAGATCTTGAGTCCGGCCTGGTGCTCCAGGCTTAGGAGCAGAGATGCTAAGGCAGAGGTCGGTGGCGTCGTCGGGGCAGCCCCCCGGCGAGGTGCAACCGGGGGAGCCCAGGGCAGAGGAGTTGTGGGAGCAAGAGATGGAGAGACTGTGCTCCTCCAAGGCTCCGGTGCGAACGCTGCCCTACTCTATGGCGGACAAACGTGTCATACGGTGGGTGCACGCGCGCGAGGACCGAGGGTGGGGACATCCTCCCCCGCGGGAAGCACCTGGCAGGCGGAGAAACCCAGAATGGGGACCCCAGTGGTCACGCCCGCATATCAACCCTGTGGCAGGCAAATGCGAGAGCCCGAGGGGATGCAGCCCTCATGCTGGGAGCGGTGGCGGCGCCAGCACTGGGCTGTGAGAAGACGGCTCCACGAGACAGCCCAGCGGTTCAAGGGCTGCTTCCGGCTCTGGGAGGGTGCTCTCCATGAGATTGGAGGTAGGCCCCGCCCACTCCCAACGCCCCCCACCCCTCTTCGTCCAATCCAGAGGAGGGCACCATCCAGTCTTCTCTATTGACCCCGCCCTCCCTCAAATCCAGCCAATCACGCCCCACTTGCAAACCTGGATAGATGAATGTATGGACGACAGTGGCCCCTGGTGGTTGTCGTGGTACTGTTCGACAGGCCATCCCGGCCAAGGCCAATCAACCTTGGCCTCTGGTCACGAACCCCTTAGGTTGGTCAGCCTGACCCCTTGGCCACACGACTGTCCTCCCATAGGCCTCTTTGGCACTGGCATCCAGTCCTACTTCACCTTCCTGCGCTTCCTACTGCTGCTCAACCTGCTGACGTTCCTGCTGACAGCCAGCTTCGTACTGCTGCCCCTGGTCTGGCTCGGCTCCCCCGACCCAGGGCCCACCCTCAACCTGAGTGAGTGCCTGGGTCCAGGGCTCAGAACTGGGACAGCCCAGAGCCACATTACACACATATCTCCTGACATGAATTTGGGGCTTCCCTCAGGCCTCCTGTGGTTGGGGGTTTATTGCGTTAGCAAGAGGCAAAGCCTCACCTAGGCCTTGGAAACCCCTCTCTATGTCCCCCTCTCCTCCCTTGACAGCCCTCCAGTGCCCCAGTGATGGCCAAGGCCAGACTGACCCTCAGACGTTCCAAAATCAACTTTGGAATGTCTTAACTGGCAGGGTGAGTAGGGTTTGCCCTGGTCATGGCCCTGGGGGCTAGGGGACAAGAGGAACCAGCTTCAGGGGATCCCAATCAAAAGCACCCCACCCCTGTGAGGATATCTCAGTTCCTAGTAGGCCAGACCTATTGTGATGCTGTAAGATAAGCACTGGACTGCTGACCACAAGCTAACTACACGGGTGGTGGTTCAAATCCACTCCTCAGAAACCCTATACAGGGTTGCTATGAGTCGGAACCAAGTGGGAGGCCCTTAACCACAACAAGTGGGCCAAGCCAGCAGGAGGGTCAGGGACAAGTGAGACCATCCTGCAGAGCTCACTCCACAGGTGAATGGACACTTGTCCGATGACTTTCAGAGCCCAACTGGGGTAGGGGTCACAAGGGACAAGAAGGAGAATGTATCTGGAAGCTGTAGTATGACTATGTGTGTGGGCTCAGGGGTGTGAGTCCTGACCCCATCTCTCAAAGCTGTGTGACCTTGTTGTTAAGTGCCTTCGAGCTGGTTCCAACTCCTAGCAACCCTGTATACGGCTTCCAAGGAGCGGCTGGTGAATTTGAACCGCCAATCTTGGCGTCCAGTCATTATCCCACAGAGCCACCGCAGAATTCCTGTGTGACCTTAGGGGTACCCGTACTGCCTAGCTGCTGGGTTACTGTGAGTTCGTGAGCTCAGAGCCAGCTGGGATCCCTGATGTCCCCAGGCCTTCAACAACACCTATCTCTTCTATGGCGCATACCGGGCGAGGCCGGAGAGCAGCTCCACCTACAGCATCCGCTTGGCCTACCTGCTCAGCCCACTGGCCTGCCTGCTCCTCTGCTTCTGTGGGACACTGCAGCGGTGAGGGCACAGCCCGGGCCACCACCTCTTCAGGGGCCTCTGTCTTCCCTGGTCACCCCTCCCTAGTTAGCAGGAAACCAACTAGGCCCCAGCCCTGTTCATCAGGAGCTCTGGGGTCTGAATGCTGTGTCCCCACCTGTAGACTTCAGAAGCAGAAACCACCTCACCCAGGCCAAGTGTGCTGCTGGGGCCCTTCCCCTCCCAGCACAGGACCAAGGCTGAGACTGGAGATGGGGGTGCCCTCCCCTCCCCTCCAGGATGGTGAAGGGGCTGCCGCAGAAGCCGTTCCTGGGTCGAGAGCACAGGACGCTGCTCAGCGCCAAGATCTTCTCCTCTTGGGACTTCTGCATCCATGTGCGAGTAGCTGCCACCATCAAGAAGCTAGCAATCTGCAATGAGTTCAAGGTGTGCATTAGGGTGATTGTGTGAGAGCAAGCGAGCGAGCAAGAGTGTGGCTACGTGAGAACGAGTGTGTGCATAGGAATGGGTGTGAGTGTGTGCGTGTGTGGAAAGTGCGTGAGCATGAGAGTGCCTGTTTGTGCCTGTATGTGAGTGCCTGAGTGGGTATGGGTTAGTGCGTGACTGTACACAACAGTGTGTGATTGTGCATGCTGGTGGCCGTATGTGAGAATGTGAATGTATAGGAATGTGAATGATTGTGTGTGTCAGACATTGTATACAAGGGGGCTTCAAATTTTTCATGTAAAAAATCCGTTGTCTTTTCATTACATTTTTCCACAAACTTTTTGAAGCCCCCTCATAAATGTGCGTGGGTGTAAATGAGTGTGAATGATTGTGCATGTGCCTATGAGTGTGAGCATGTATGTGTGAAGGAGTGAGTGTGTGTGTGTCACTGAATATGGGTGGGTGTGAGTGTGAATGGGTGTTTGCCATGCGTGTGTGTGTGTGAACGAGCATGTGGCTGTATGGGTGAGTGTGAATGAGTGTGAACAAGTGTGTGGCTGTAGGAGTCAGTGTGAATGAATGCATGTGGGTATGTGAGTGTGAATGTGTGTGAACGAGCGTGTGGGTGTATGGGTAAGTGTAGGTGTGTGGCTGTAGGGGTCAGTGTGAATGAGTGTGAATGAATGAGTGTGGGTATGTGAGTGTGAATGAGTGTGTGGCTGTGTGGGTGAGTGTAGGAGTGTGGCTGTAGGGGGTCAGTGTGAATGAGTGGGTATGAATGAGTGTGGGTATGTGAGTGTGAATGAGTGTGAACGAGCGTGTGGTTGTTTGGGGGTGGGTGTGAACGAGCGTGTGGCTGTAGGGGTCAGTGTAAATGAGTGTGAATGAGCGGGGAGCTGTATGGGGAGTGGGTGAGTGTCCGTGAATGTGGATGAGTGTGTCACAGAATGTTTGAGCAGCTACAGGAGACTTTTGCCCGCCCATCTGTGTAAGGTGGAGGGTCTAGACAATCCAGCCACCACTCCTCGGCCCGTTCCTGCGTGGCCACCCCAACCTTGTCTGAGACCCTGACAGCCTGTCTCCCACCCACACCAGCAGCTCCATCCCCTGCCAGGCCCACACCTCACCCCCTCTGCCCTTCCCACACAACAGGTGGAGCTGGAGGAGGAACGCCGCTTCCAGCAGGTGCAGCAGCAGACCCGGGCCCAAAGAGCCTGCCACTTGCTCACCTACCTGCGGGTCAACCTGCTCATTGGGCTCCTGGTGATGGGGGCCATCAGCGCCATCTTCTGGGCCACTAAGTACTCACAGGACAACAAGGAGGTATAGTCCACTGACTCGTTCACATGGTAAAATAGAACAGAGCCACACTGTGGAGAGCTGGCTGTCCCCGTTTACAGAGCTGAGGTCGTGATCAGGTTCCGGAGCACAGATTGACACTGGGACTATGGCAACTGCATCACCATCCACACTCACTCAGCACACGCTCCGTCACACACGTACCTCATTACATCCACACTCACTCAGCACACGCTCATTCACACATGTACCTCATTACATCCACACTCACTCAGCACACGCTCCTTCACACACGGACCTCATTACATCCACACTCACTCAGCACACGCTCCATCACACACGTACCTCATTACATTCACACTCAGCACACGCTCCTTCACACACGGACCTCATCACATCCACACTCACTCAGCACACGCTCCTTCACACAC